TATGCTTTTCATGCTAGGGAAGTTGTTCTTATCAAAAATGTATCAATATTCCTGCACATTTATGTTTGGTAAACCCATTATAAATATCCAGCATGCCTATTCTCAAACATTGCTTTATTTTTTATTCTCCATTTAGTCCATTTAGCCAACAGATCTTAAAAATTAGGTCTCAACATATTTGTCCATATATTATAAATGGAAACATTGAAGTCTGTCCAAAGAATCACATAGTCAGTCAATGACATAGTTTAGAAGAGAGCTGTCATTCCAAGATAATTTCTGTAAGGAATGCTAAAAGTATCTGTTAATGCTCTCTTCATGGTAATGAGTAAGTTATTGAAATAATCACTGTAGGAGATTTTCATCTCCAAAATTATTACTATCCTAATTGCTGATGACTATTAACTCAGTATTTTTCTAGTTTATGTTATTTAATTGTAATTGATTAAAAGACTGTAATGCTGCTATATCAGAGTTTGTATGTGTTTTTTAAGTGTTGAAGATGAACTATATCTTAAAATATTTAATATTAATGTTATTATTGCTCATGTAAATTAGTGAAATTCTAAAAAGTGCTGTTCCTAGTAAATCTCAATAAATTATTATACTTTTAATTTTAAAATATCATCACATTTGAATTTTGATGTTTATAGACTTATTTAGTATGTTTACTTTTCTTCAGTAATATAATTCCAGTGTTATCTTTAGCATTTATTTTTCTCTTTTGACCATGTTTTTCCTAAAGGGAGTTTTATATACAAAACTAATATGACTTTTTACACAAACATACATATATATTTAAATGCCAAGCATAACTCTCTTCCTCATAATCATTCTGAACTCTCAGTGGATATTTTAGACAGTCACAGGAATAACTTTTATTCATAACTGTTCCATCATTTTAAAGCATAATTGTAGGAAATATTTTTGTTTTAAAATTCTGGGAGTCTAGAAACAAAGAGATTTCTACTCAAAGAAACTTGGGGTAGCCGATCTTTTAAGAGCAACTGAGTACCTAATGTACTGGGAAGAAGAGTAGCTTTTCATTTGGAGCAAGAGAACTCTTGGCCAGAATAAACCAGTATCAGTTTAACGAGGATTTAGTATGTTTACATTTCACCCAGGTATAAAAAATTATATTCAGTAAGAATCTAAGGAGTCATGTCAAGATAAGCATGATAAAGTTCCAGGGGTTTAGCTGGCAGTGAAAAGGAGAAAAACAGTATCTAAAACACAAGGACCTTAAACCCAGAAAACTTCTACGGAGCTAGGGAGTATGGCATTGACATTTTTGTCACCTCAACAATTCCTTCTTTTTATCCTTCTCATTTCCTGAATGAATTAGGACGACTGGGCCACATTGCCGGCCCCTCTCAGGGCTTGGCCCCCTCACAGTCTCTGTGCTATGTGGGTACAGATGCATTCATGGGAACTAACTCTCCAACCTGGAGCAAGCTTTGCACCCTGATTAAGCACTTGCAAATTCTGGGATGCTGAGCAGTCTCTTCATGACACTCTCCCAGGTTGCTTGGCAGAATAAAGACCCCCCTCAAAAATACACTGATTAAGGAATGGTTCAGATACAAACCGGCAAGTGCTGCATAAGCAGGGTCAGAAGCCACTAGTCAGAAACTCATGAGTGTATAAGTAGGTCCTTGATTAGCCACTGCATGAGGGGAGGACACAAAATGCGAATCTAGACACAGACGCAGGTAAAACGTTGAGAAATACTACCACAGTTTCACAGCTAAAAAACAGTTCGGAAATTAATTTCAGCTCTACATAATCACGCAGGAAGCAATTAAATGGAACAAGACAACCTGCTTGTTCAGAAATTAATTTCTATGCTAATCTTGAACCTTAAATTTTTGCTAATCCTGTTTCAGTTTAATCACTTTTACAAAAGCACACACACTTAACCATGTTTCCCAAATGCCACTGTTTAGCAGTTTTCACAGCATATTTTGTTTTGATACAGGTCTTGTCATTTTTGCCCTCATCTAACAAATTTTTTAAAAAGGCAATCAAGTCTAAACACAATCGCATGTGAATTTTGGAATGTTTCTTGGTACAAATGCCCCTGAAAATTTCAAATTTTTATAAATCAGTTTGTCCCAGTCCAACGGATCAGAGGTCTCTACAACAAAGCTCTGGAATCAGTTCTATGGGTGATTCAGCAAATTACCAAGTGATGGATGAACAATTGCTGTCATGATGCCCTTTGGCACATTAACAAACACCAACCACATGTGCTAGTTATTTTCCAAAGTAAGTGGTTATCACCCCTACACAAAGATTTTAAAGGGTCTAAGTAAAATGACTGTAGCTTTAATATGGACTCAGAAAGAAGTGAGGGACCTGCAACCCATCCTTCTTCCTCTAGACTGAAATATATTTATGACATCTAAGAAGGGACTGTGTTTGTCCAACTGGTTTATTCAGTCAGTTGTTCAACTGTCCACTCGTTAAAGCAACATTTACTGAGTGCTGGATGTTGTGCTTGGTGCTGGAGATATGAAGATAAAGACAAATCTCCTATCCTCACTGTTTAATGGGAGAGACAAACAGGAGAACAAGATCGAATCAGTGATAAGCATGACAAAAGAATGCTCTCCACTGGGAGTGAAGGTATACTAAGGAAGGCTTCCATCACCAACGAGGTGATAACCAACCAGAGTGTGAATGAGGAGGAACCACAATGGTGAACAGAGCAGGGAAAGGCCAAGGAATGGGTACATGTGACGAGGGCACGGAGAGGGAGAAGCGTGGTTTGAGCATTCTGTCCTCATGAGTCATCACTTAAAAAAAAATTTTTTTAAAGGTGAAAGAAATTCAGTAGGAATCATATGGAATGACAGATGACCTGTGATTACAGTAGAATGCAGCTCAGTTTTATTGCTTTGGGGCCAGAGAAAGAAGTCAATGGTTCCAAGGACTCCTTTTCCACTGTAAAATTTTCTGATTTTTGAAGCTGCGGCACAAGTTTAACAATACAATGATACAGAAAGTCATTTCATTTGTGAGCACAGCAGTCAGGACAGGTGGGGGAGGGCACTGGGAGAAGACAGGGATGACCGGACAGCCCCCAAACACCATCACCCAGTGATCTCCCAGAACTCTATGGCCCTCGTTCCTCAATCCTCTGTGAACATCACTCATAACTTCCTATCTGAGAGATTGTGATATATCCCCATTCTTAGAAATCTCCATGACCTTTTCAAAAGATAGCTCAAAACATGACTCATATAGCTGTAGCGTACATTTCTCATTTTTAACACGTAAAATTTCAGAATTCTTAGTTGCTTCCCTTTCTGCAATACAAAAGAAATAATGAAAGCATTTGTTTCAAAAAAACAAACAAAAAAAAACCTCCAGAAAATGTGCATTACGTTTAGCAGCAATAATTTTGTAGGACTTCAGTAGAACTGGATTGCAATCATCTAATCTAATGAGAATCACTTCATTCCATATTTGTCTGCTTCCCCTCAAATCCATTCTGTAGGGGGGAAATTTTTTTTCAAATGACTACCCATTTAAATGGTTAAACTACTCTTGTATGTGGCACAAGATAAAATAAATATAAAGCAAACTGAATTCAACTTTAAAACAAATCTTGTTATGGTGAAAACTCAAACATTAAGACCTCATTAAAGTTTCCTTACTAAATTAACATAAGTGGCACAATCTTTCCTTCCCCCCCAACTATTTAAGAAGCTAAAGCTTCTTTATGCTGACAACTCAATGTATTTGAAGGATAAGCTAAACCAGAGTAGTTTTCCAACCTCATATACAACAGGAAAGGAATAACCAAATAGCAACGATTACTAAATGTTGCAACAGACTGTTCTAAGTGGCACTCAAAAAACTGTGTGCCGTTTAACACAGTGATTCTACTTGCCATGGGAAGATAAATAGACAAGAATGTCAATTGCTGTACTATTTATATTGTGAAAGAGGAAAAACAAACTTATTCTGATTAAAAGAGGAGTGGATAAACCAATTATGTTAGAACCATAGTATGAATACTATGCAACCATTAAAATGAGATCTATTTATATATGCTAACATGAGAAGATCTCCAAGACATTGGAAAAAGCATGCTGCTTAATTGTACATATAGCTGGATCTCACTTATGTGAAAAATATGTGCACGCATATGTGCATATATCTATGCATTTAATCTATGGGAAAGGTTTAAAGGGTGCATGCCTATGGAGGAAAGCAGATAGAGTTCAAGGAAAGGGGGTGAGGAGATGGCAAAGAAGAATTTGTTACTTCTTATACTGTTAAATTATTTACATTTTTATGATTAGAACTTTTTTGAAAATTAAAAAGAAAACAGTATGTATCAATTGTTAACCAAGAAAAAGAATAGCAACCACAACAAAAAGCCAAAAATAAAGTATTAGGGGCCATAGCACACATCAGAGAAGGAATACGAGAAGTCTGTTTGAGAAGATTGAAGCCTATCTTGGTAGCAGATTCTTGTCCTTTTCTTGATATCAGATAAGCTATTTTCAAACAGTGAATTATGTAACCCCAAAGCATAACACCTCTGATTGGTATGCACTGCAACTTCATACAATACAGATTGTATCATTTTGTAATGTGTGCCAAGCATGTCACTAAAAGGTGCAAAACATATGCTTTCTACCTGTGATAAATCACCTTGACTAGGTCACAGAACGAGTAGCTGGCAGACTTCCGAGTTTTCAAAGTGCCACATAAGAGCCCTGAAACATGGTGACACTCCTCTCATTTTACTGGCATAAATGACACATGCCATCAAAAATCACAGCCTCATCTCACATTTGTTACATTTTTGACAAGCAATTTTCATTCAGTAGTGCTTGCTCATGTACACAGGCATAAAACAAAAGCTGATGCATTCATTTTTTTCATTTCAAAAGTATGAATTAGTAGTCAAGTACATTTTTTATAATGCTGGTAATTTCTTAGAATTAATATAATAGAACATAAATATTTAAAACACAGTAACTTTAATAATTATATAGGGATTTTGTTCCACAGTACTCAACTCTACCTAGTATTTTGTTTCCTCCAGCCATCAATTTCTCATTTCTTTCTTCTTTCTTGTTTTCCTCCCATCCTTCCTTCCTGGTTTCCATAATTATGTATTCAACACCTCTTATGTGTCAAGCAGTGCACGGGGGGCTAGGAATCCACAGATGAGTATGACATTATTCTTGCCTTGGATGAGTTTACAGTATGGTGAGGTAAGTAGATTAATCTGAATAAAACATGGTGCCAGAAACAATATTCTGACAAAAAGAAAAATAACATTTACTGGGCATCTACTACATGCAAAGTATCATGTTAGATGTTTTATCCCCATTATTCATTTAACCTTCACATTTAATCTTCGTACCTTCATGCAGGTATTTTTACTTTCTTTTTTCAAATGAGGATCTTGAATTGTGGAAAAATTAAATGATGTTAAAAAATTCCAAAGCACCTAAGAAATAACCAGCAGTGCTCTTAAGACGGTAAACTATAAACTTGGCTGGTTCAACTGACTTGTTAATACTTGCTCTTGAACTAGAACCCAGAAATCTTGCTACCTACTGCCAAAGTTCACTTTTAGACAGACAGAAAGAAATGGGCCGCTACAGCTCATTACAGTGAAACTTGGCATTTGTTTTTAATACTTGGGTTTTGAACTTTAAGTATAAGAAGACAACAGTATCATTTTATTAACAATTAATTAGAAAAGAATTGATACTTTGGAGAGTGAAGTTTTCCAAAAACAAAACTGCTGACACTATATACAGAAAATGGAGGGCTCTAGAAATGCTACTGAATGGCTTGTCTGACCTCCGTTTTGCCAAGTTTCTTTAATTTCACAGTTTAAATGAATTCTTAAAGTGGGAGGTAATTTTTCTTCCCCTTTGGGGGATAGTATCAGTTCCATTTCTATCACTGAGTACTCTCTAGAAGACTTAAGGTTGTCAGTTTTTCATACTGCATTTTGAAAACCTTTCTAGGGGAGAGGAGGAAGCATTTTATAGCTGGTGAAACTGGAAGTCCAAGGCTATTAACTGAAGGTTGAAAAAAGGACGGCTAATGAGCCTTCCTTATCAATACAGTTTAATATTTTCTGTTTTCTTTGTTAACAGAAATGAAAGGTAGCTTGTTTGCTTCCTTATTCTCTTCCAACAAACATATATTAAATACCTACTGTGTTTCAGACTTTGTGCTAGGTACCAGGAATAAAAAGACAAAGTAGGTCACAGTCTAAAAAAGATAGCCATGTAAAGACCATGTTCTAGGCACTGTACTATGTACTTTACATGGATTATCTCATTTAACCCTCAAAATAGCTCTGACTGACCGGTACAAATATTGTCTCCATTTTGCAAATGAAAACAGCAAGGCTAATACAAGTTAGGTACTTGCCCCGGGTCACACATACAGAAAATGGCATTGCTAGGTGTGTTTGACTCTTAATTACTCCATGATACTGCTAAAACTGAGACATAACCAAAGAGCTAAGGGAATCGTAAGGGCATAAAGGGGAGTGACAGACATGGCTTCAGGCAGTCCAGAGATACATTATATGGAGGTAACGTTTGAGCTTTACCTTGAAAGAAGAAATAGTGAATATTCATTGGGTGGAGAAGAATGGTCAGGCATTTTAGACTGGGAAAAAAAATACATATATGCAAAGGTACAGAGATGTAAAAGGGCATGGCAAGGTTGAAGAAACTGTTCAATATCTGCAAGAAATGAGTCAACAGACCTTAAGCTAGAAGAGGAGGGTTTGCATGCTTCAACAAGGAGCTTAGGCTTTATCCTGAAGGCAGCAGAAAACTAAGAAGGAAGTGGAATAAAAGATTGTGTGTGTGTGTGTGTGTGTGTGTGTGTGTTGAAGATAATGCTTGTGGCAATGTAGAAAGTGGGCTGAAAGTACACTGTCAAGCTGTAACTGCAACAGTCTATGGGAGAAAGACGGGGCTGCCCTGAGGCTGTATGTGATAATGTGACTTATAATAAGAAATATATATTTGGTCTTTATTCCCAGTCCCTGACATAGGGTTCCTAAAACCCTTATAAATTCCTAAGTGATAAAAGCACTAGAAGCATCTTTTGATCTAATGAAGCGACTTGGTGGGCTCTGGGATGGGGGCTGATTACCAGAAAGGTCAAGCCATGATTAGAAACGTGAAATTTTTAGATGTGCCCCTACCCCCACTCCTCTAGAGGGGAGAGGAGCTGGAAATGAAGTTAATAATTGATCAGGCCTCCTTGAGGAAGCCTCCATAAAATCCGAGCAATGTGGGTTCCAGAGCCTCAAGGATAGCAAACACATCCACACTGGGAGGGTGAAGCACCCCAGGTTCACAGGGACCGACGCTCCTCCCAGACCTTGCCTTATATATCTCTTCATCTGGCTGTTCATCTGTATCCTTTAATAAACTGGTAAATGTAAGTTAAATGTTTCCCTGAGTTCTGTGTGCTGCTCCAGCATATCAGTTGAACCCAAGGAGAGGGTAGTGGGAGCCTCTAACTCACAGCCAAGTCAGACAGAAGTTGGGGACTTGTGATTGGCATCTGAAATGAGATGGAAGCTGTCTTGTGGGACTGAGCCCTTAACCTGTGATACCTGACGCTATCTCCAAGTAGATAGTGCTAGAATTGAGTTAAATTGTAGGACACCCAGTTGGTGTCACAGAGAATTGCTTGTTATGGGGGAAAACTCCTCCATGCATTTGGTGATCCTAAGGGTCAGAAGTGAAATGTTCTGTGTGGAAGTAAAGGAGAAAGACACAGGAAGATATATGAGTTATTTTCCTTAATTTACTCTAGTGCTGTCTAGGTATCCAAGCAGCCTATACTGTGCACGATGCTGAGGGGGTTAATTAGAGCAGGTAATAAGGGAAGTAAGTATGCAACACACCTGAACACATGCCATGTTATTGTGATGAGCATTTTTACATTTATTCTTCACTTGATCCACACAATAACCCTCAGAGGTTATTTCTTTTTCAATTGTGTGGAGGAGAACTCTGAATATTAAGAAAGGTATCCAAGGTCATACAGATGACCACTGGCACAGCTGGAATCCAAACCACCCAAGTCTGTCTTCCTCCAAAGCCTATGGCCTTTCACAGAGGACACACTCAAGGACAGTACAATTTATTTAATGGTTCCATTCATTCTAGTTGGCCTTCACTGAATTTAAATAAAGTGCCTTTGAGAGCCAAAGTGTTAAAGTAGCAAACAAAGATGACAAAATAAGGGTCACAGAGCAGATCTATAAAATATAGGCCTAGTTAGGGGCTCCTTTTAAAAGTATGTTCTACACTTCACGTTTGTAGGCATACTGCCATTCATCTAAAAGGGAAATTTCTAGAGATGCAAGTATCATTTGCATTTGTGGCTTTGGAAACTTCCCAGAAAACTGTGCTCTGAATAGAAGGATGTGATATTAAAGTAAAAATTATACTTAGCTTTACCTAGCAACCCAAATTCCAGAATCAAGGTTATTGCTAAAGTGATTTTGAGTAGACCTGGTGCATTTAGATGCATATATATGCACACACTCATTCACACACACATACACACATGGAGTCTTTTTAGAGAAACCAAGCTAGCCTGCTGCCCTTAGGACCTGTTTGTAACATTGCATTCCGGTGGCTAAATGGCCTTGATACCACACTATTACACTAGGCTGTCACCCTACTGTGGCAAAGTGCCTTTGTACTTTTATTATCATTCATTAGTTTACTAATGGATTGGAAAAGATAATCCTCATGGTGTAAGTGCTATGTAAATTTTAGTTGCTGCTGTTGTTATTATTCATTATTATTATTATTTTTCCCATTCCATTAGTCACCAGCATTAATACTGTCAGGGGGAGACCCTAAAACTTTGGAGAGTCTGGCAGTGTTAGGATCTCATAGCCCTTTGACCAAAGAAGTATTTTCTTTTTTCTGAAAAGGATACTTTTTGATGATCAGATTGACTCAACCAAGCCAATCACTGTTTCACAATTTTCCTCTTCCATTTTCTCCTCTCTTCTTCTTTGTCTTCAACATTTATTAACCCCGAGATTAATTTGTTTATTTAACTAGTATTTATTGAGAGACTACTCTGTGCAAGGCCTGGTTCAAGTGCTGGGATTAGAGCAGTGAATAAAGCAGTCAAAAATACCTGCCCTCAAGAAGACGCTATTCTAACGACAACAACAAAAAAAAAACAAAATAACAAAACAAAACAAAGTAAAAAAAAAAAAGATGCTACTCTAGTAGATCGTTCATGCCACACATCTCATCCATCTGAGGGCCAGTATCAGACACCCTGTCAGGACGCAGGACTGGCGATAGGTGAAGAGCAGGGAGAAAAAAAAGATCAGGCCTCCAGACAGCCACACCACACCCTCGCCCTCCTGCCGGAGTCTGACTACACATGAGTACGGTTAAGAAATTTTCCCTATTGCTATGCTCACCTTTGTGTGATGCTCTGGGTTGTTACCACCCTGGAGGGTCACAGTTCTTGCGGCTGAGATCGTGGCTCTCCTTTCCCTCAGCCTAACACCAAGCACCTGGGACACAGAGCTTTCCAGGAGGAAACATCTAAAGATCTGAAAGAACTGATTGAATGTGAAAACCTAGACGCCTGGCTGCAGGCCCTGTGCAGGCACCTTTTCATTAGGCGTGAGCTGTACTGAGCAGCTCTGAGATCTAGGAATCCATCCACACACACACAGTCCACCTCTGCCACTCACGTCAGCAATGCCTGAAGGGCGTGACCAGGGAGACTGAATTTGACCTACTTCATGCTTGGGCTCCTTCTGTGTAGGATCTTGATGAGTTTCACTAAACCAAATTTTCTCAGTTTTCCTAAAAAGGAAGGAAAGAAGATTCAAATGGTTCCTTTCGAAATATCCTTTTATCATGCAATGTTGACTAAAATCACTGGTTTCAAATGAAGGCATGTCAAGCAGATGACTACCACTTATCCATTATAAGAGCAGGAACAGAAACTATCTAAAAAATAGATTAAAACTGAACTCTCACAAAAACTAAAAAATGTTCTTTTGGCCAGCGATTCAGCCTCTCTCCCTCAAACCAAACCTTTTAGTAAAAGTAATAACATATGAGGAAAATGGATGTTCTGAATTGAACTTCCTATTTTCCCTTTCCTCCTGGTGGAGGTAACTAATGAACAGTGAAATGGCCAAGAGGTAGGCAGGAAGCCACAAAGGAGAGGAGGAGGAGCAAAGGACAGAAATAATCCACAAATGGTAACTATCTGAAACAATGGGGAATTCAATGGATTTCTATTTTACGTGGTAAGGGAAGAGGCATGGAAAATAATAGCTATATTAGCTTAGGTAATGACAGTAATTAATAGTTGCATGCCTCTACTATGCTAGGCCCAGCACCTGCCAGGTATTTTTAATCCATTATCTCTCAGCAATCCTGCAAGGGTGGCATTATTCTTACTTTAAAGAAGAAAAATGAGAGGCACAGAGAGTTAAGTACCTGGCCCAGGCCCACACAGCAAGATGATAGAGCCTGAACTGCAACCCAAACCCAAGGCTCTTGCCTTTCAGTGTAAGTCTCCTCTGCACCACTCCTTAGAATCTACTGCAAAACATTGCACATTTCTCAAATGGGAGTCTATTGTGTTATTATGATAGTTTAAAACATTTTAAATAACATTCTAGTGAAACACGTAGGATATCATTAGTGTATGGAAAAATTACCTAGACAGCTGATTTAAATTGCATTTTCCTGGGTTCCACCCATGGAAGACTGAAATTCAGTAGGTCTGGGGTAGGGTCCAGGAATCTACATTTTAAACAGGCCTCCAAGAAATTAATACAGTGATCATGAAATCACACTTTTTTAAAAACACCTTTATTATGGTATGGTTCCTGTTTAGTAAACTACACATATTTCAAATGTACAATTTGATGAATTTTGATAGATGTATACACCAATGAAACCACTGCTACAATCAAGATAGCTAACATTTCGATCACTCCCCAAGAGGTGCAATTTTTGAATCCCCAACTTATCCTTTCCCACACCTTTTACCCTGTGGTAGCCATTAGTTTGTTCTCTATGTCTGTGAGTCTGTTTCTGTTTTGTAGATAAGTTCATTTGTGTACTTTTTTTAGATTCCACATATAAGCAATATCATATGGCATTTTTCTTTCTCTTTCTGGCTTACATCACTTAGAATGATGATCTCCAGGTCCATCCGTGTTGCTGCACATGGCATTATTTTATTCTTTTTTCTGGCTAGGTAGTATTCCATTCTATTTATATACCACATCTTCTTTATCTAGTCATCTGTTGATGGACATTTGGGTTGTTTCCATGTTTTGGATATTGCAAATAATGCTGCTATGAACACTGGAGTGCATGTGTCTTTTTGAATTATATTTTTCTCCAGATATATGCCCAGGAGTGGGATTGCTGGATCATATGGTAAGTCTATTTTTAGGTTTTTAAGGAACCTCCATAGTGTCCTTCATAGTGGCTGCATCAATTTGCATTCCCAACAACAGTGTAGGAAGGTTATTTTTTCTTCACACCCTGTCCAGCATTTATTGTTTGTAGACTTTTTAATGATGGCCATTCTGACTGGTGTCAGGTGATATCTCATTGTAGTTTTGATTTGCATTTCTCTGATAATTAGTGATGTTGAGCATCTTTTCATGTGCTTGTTGGCCATCTGGATGTCTTCTTTGGAGAAGATGTCTATTTAGGTCTTCTGCCCATTTTTTGATTGGATTGCTTGTTTGTTTGTTTGTTTTGATATTAAGGTATATGAGCTGTTTGTATCAAGTCATACTTAGAGACACAATGTCATAGACCTTACCCAAAATTTCTAATTCTCAATTTCCTATTCCATTGTCTTGTCACTCACTTTATTCTAAAATGTAGCTTTATAGAGCTGATCCAATGAGATAGTTGTCTTGTGCCTCAGGGGTAAAATACAATATTGGTGGGGAGGCGCCCAGGTTCTTGGTAGAACTCTGTTGCAAACTTGTTGGATAAACTCAAATGATTCCTTTGAATGTTCTGGGCCTTTGCCTCCAATTTGTAAGATGAAGAGTTTCTAAAATCACACATCTATGATTTTATTTGGCTAGAGAAGGCCAATTTTTAAAATGATAATGATCTCTAGAGCCTAAATATTTCAATGTTGAAATGTAAGAGGCAGAGTCTACTTTCCCTATAAATTTTATATCAACATAGTGCCTTCACATATCATGGATTTGGGGGAAGAGAATGGGAATCCAAAAATGGAAGCAAGTACAAGTTATATTTTTAAGACCATTTAGTTATTTGCTTAGCAACTGATTTCTTCAATCAGGTAGTTACATCTATAGTAAGAATTCTTTAAGTATATATACAGTAGACCCTGTACAACATGGTTTAGAACTGTGCCAGTCCATTTATATGTGGATTTTTTTCAATAGTAAATACTATCGTACTAAACCATCCACAGTTGAATCTGTGGATACGAATCTGCAGATAAGGAGGACCAACTGTAAAGTAATAGGAAGATTTTTCCACTGAGTGGCGGATAGGGACCTAAACTCTCCAGTTGTTTAAGGATCAACTGTATTTCAAATCTTAGAAAGCAAGCTATTGCACAATCATTCATTCTAATTTTCAATAGCATCTTGAAGACCAAAGCTATTCTGAGTTAGTTTTTAAAGAACTAAAAATACCCCTTGATTTATATCAACACACTCTTGGATATTGAAAACATAGGCTGAGAATTGCTGATTTATAGCTTGTTTTTAAATGCCCAGAGTATGGCTTATTGGATGGTTAGTGTCCATGGAGATAAGCTTAAAATGTGAAATGAGTCACACAAATGAAGTCACAAGTTATAAAAGAAAAGGAAGACTACAGTGAAAGAGCTATGGTTCTAACTCAATAAGGAAAACCATGACTCAAACTTGCTCACGTTCAGAAAGCTGTGTATATATTTACTTCCCTTGAAATATTCCTTTTGTCTCTGTGACTTATTAACACTTTCCTGGGAAGTACTAATTTCCTTATTCAAACAGCCTAGTCCAGCAGCAGAATTTGGTTACAGAAAGAGACAAGGAAAAGACATATTATTACCTGGGAGATCTGAATCACCAGAAACAAAAGAAACAATTCAGTCAATTATGAACTAAGTTGAGATTCACTACTTATAGCAATGTTGAGGGAGACATTAATTCCACATTTGGAGAGTGTGCAATATTTTCTCCAGCATTTTGTAGTATAATTTAACAGCTCTTATTTAAAAAGGAACTTTTCAACTCAATTGATGCTAGTTTTATCTCTGAAGCTTTCAATTATACCATACTCCCAAAAGCATCATATTAAGTAAATGCAATGCATTCATAATCTTACATAGCCTGCATAGCATAGTAGAGGCACTTAGGAAAGTGTACTGAGATTATGTTGTATGTATCATAAGGATAAATATACTTTTTCTATCTATTTTCTAGCTATTTCCTAAGCAAGATCTTGGAGAGTTCATAAATTGACTTTGACTTCTTCAGTTTATGATTTTGCAGCTTCCAAGAAAGATAAAATGTTTTCTGCTGCAGCTAAGGAGTATAATGCTGCTACAGTCTATTTACTTGTATTGCAAGGTAAGCTCAGAAGTTAAAATGAAAAGGTTACTTTTTTAGGTCAGGAATTCTAAGGAAAACAATTTTATACTCTATACTAATCTTTAATAACATTCATGAATGCTACAACCTAAAAAATACCCGAAGTAACTACTTTTTCTGGCCTAGAAAAAATTCCAGCCAATAACTTCTAATCCACACAAAACCCAAAATATTAAGTCTAGAACCAAACCCCTGACAAACTATCAAAGAGTGGGCACCAGGTGAGCACCAGGCTATGTTGGTACTCAAGCACCTTCTCCCCTCACATTTTACTGCATCTTCTAAATTGAAGAAACAGTTCTATGAGCCTTAAAGGGGCTGGTGGAGCTACAGTGCTGTCTCTACTAAGACAAATGAAAAGGATTTGTCCTCAGTGGATCAGGAATTTCCATAATCATGATGTTCAGAATCATTGGAATGCTACTTGGCCTGCAAATTTTGCATTTACCTAATTTTTTAGAGGCCCTGGGCCCACTTAAATATCTTTGTGTATAATTGTGGTCTAAGGATATCCCATCAGTTCTGAAGGAAACACAGAAATACAGGCCTTTGTTGGAAATGTATCTATATTATGTCTAAAGAATAAGTAACTTTTTCTAGAATTGTTGTTTAGGCATTCAGAATTTTGGTAGGCTAAATAATCTGAATCCTGGTATCTGAAAGAATAAGCAGAAATGCCAGATGAAGGAATATCAAGGTAGATGAAAAGAGTAAATAATAGCAACTAAAATTTATCAAGTGTTTGACATGAATGATTTTGGTTAATCCTAACAGTCACCCTTAGAAGTAGGTATAATTATATATTCCATTTTACAAATGAGGAAACTGAGATCCATGGAAGTTAAACAGCTTGCTCAACGATTCATAGCTGGTAATGGCATAATAAGAATTTAACCCAGGCAGCTGGATTCCACATCTGACATGTTTAAACAGCGTGATATATGGCCTTCCAGAAGGCCTCTTTTGTTTCCAGAAAGTCCAGCTCCACAACAGTCAGCTTGTCTCTGCTTACCTGTCATTAGTTGCCAAGGAAATGAGACAATCTCTAAGGTGAGCAGCATAAGACATTCAAATGAGATATAAATAAGGAACTTACATTTTTACTTATGCCACATTGTGCAGTACTGAAGGCAGTTTATTTCATGCAGTACTTCAGAAGCCATACTATTAATTTTGGAATGTGATATGAGCATGGAAGACTTGCCCTATACAACCTATCATTCTTTTCAAAAGGAATTTTCTGACATTGAAAGTGCAACACTTAGGGACATGGAATTATGGCCTCTGTGACCACATTCCAAGTTATAAAGCTCCCTGCAAGGGGTTGGAGAAGATGGGGCAACTCTACCCAGAATTTGTGGGAAATGACCATAAGACAGATGAAATTCTCAATCCTGTTGCTTTGACTGGGAAAATCTCATTGCCTTGAGGCTCATGGAAGGAATCTGTCACCAACTCTGAGCCCTTGGAATGTCTCAACATCACCTCCTCAGTGGCAAACTTTTATAGTATACCCCTCATCTCTAGGGACCAAGGGGTTCCACAGCTCCAGTAGAGAAGCTAAGGAATTCCAAGAACTCTGTGAAATTCTTAACACCTTAGGGTACACAGCTAAGTAGTGCACACTATTTTCTTCCCTAATTCTTCAGTGTTATCTGCACCCACACAGATCTCCGTGCCTTTGGAAAATGACAATGATCAAGTTCTCTTATCATCAATTTATTCAACACTTGTGGTAAAAATAGACAAAGAAATTATTGGAAAAGTTTGGAAAGGCTAAGAAGGTTTTAATAAATTATGTAATATATTAAATTGCCCAAAAGTAAAAGTGCCTTTTCAAAAGGTGGCATCCTAACTTGTAATCACACTCATTATTTACACATAAGTTCATCCTATATTTCATGATATTTTATTGTTTTATTACTTAAACATTTTATTACTTCCTTATCTGGCAATGGTTATTTTTAACCCTGTGGTCAGATAAGAGGGTTGGGCAGATGGTACTTTCAATTTAAATGGATTTTTATGCCATTAGAAGAAATGTTTGCCCTGTCTAAAAGGAGCATTGAGTGTAAAAGTCACAGGCTTCAGACCATTTCCTGTGGGATTTTTCCACTATCCTTCCAATTAGTCAGTCAATGTGATGTTTCTCTAAACATAATCATTTATTTTTCTCTGGAGGATTACCTTCCATTCCGTTCAAGAAAGATGATCCTGGAAAATAAGGAAAGCTTTCTACAATCCCCCCCACCAACCAGTGCAATATTTATGATTAATTGCAGCCCATCATAATTAATGACAAAAGGAAAAAGCATTCAGTTTCCTAGCTCTTCTCATATAAAAAAGCGTTTGTTGCAGTTTGAGTTCTAGCCAACTTCCATTGTTCAGGCAATAATTAGGCAAATTATACCAATCATCAACAATCTTAACAGAGATTATATAACTGTAATTTAGACCAATGACCTTGGACTTATGAAAATAGAATATGGGATATTTAATTGCATGATGTGGCACTACAATTCTATATCTATAAAGTCAAGGCTTTTATATTCGTTAGTTAATTTACAATACCCCATACCTAAACATTTCTGAAAGTGACAAAATTATGTAAGTTTCACAAAATATCCAAATAGCATCTTCTTTCAAACAAACTGATCAATATTAAAAATAAGAATTCCACTCTCAATGTAAATAATGACTTCACATATTTCAGAAATTTGAATGGACTTGGCAGCCAACATGTTTAAATAGAATGTTTCAGGGCATTGGACTAGTCTAAATTATTAAAGGATTAAAACAAATCAACATCTTTTGTAATCAGAGAAATGCTGAGTCTGTTCAATACTCACTGTCAGTAGAGTTCACCTTAAGAAACAGAATGGGTTATGCATACAAAAACAAACCTCAAGTTGGAAGCTCCGCATCAACAGAACGATGAATAAAAGACTTTTCCAGCACAGTAGGCAAATTTCCCCTTTAATAAGCAGCCAGGAAAAAGCAATATTTCAATGTTTGCTTTCCTTCCTCTGAGGGAGAGGGTTTCACTATGACTTATTTTACTTCCTTTTTATTCTGTCCTATTTTCTTGGCTCTCACAGACAGCTCCAGTAGCAACATGACAATACCACTTTGCACTTGCCGAAAGCGCCTTTTCTCTAAAACTCTCAGCTGTGGTCTATGCGAGGAGAGTGTAAAACAGGGGAAACGATGCAAACATTGAAGTTCATCCTCTCATGCAAACATTTTGAGAGGCTCAGATTCATCCTAATGCCAGACTGGGAAAGAAGGACACCAACAAAAACCTAACTCCTCCCAAAGTTCCTGCTTGGTGTCCTTGAGGCCTTCGGCAAGATTTACCATTATCTCGAGCTCTGTCTCACATACAAAATAAAAGCAATGCCATTTTCTTTATGAGCATGTGAAGAGTAACTAGATTGCATTTTCTAAAATAAAACTTGGGTAAAAAGCAGATTCTTAGAATTCTAAAAATAAGCCTAAAGTGGGTACTTAGTGTGTAACAATCTTGAATGCATGTTTCTAGAGTTGAAAACACTCACATTTCTGTTTTTCTTTAACAAAAAAATCTTGTCCAGGGGAAAACATCTCAAAATAAAAAATGCTTCAGAATAAAATTTATCAAAAGGTTGTTGGTGCTCTTTCTTCAAACCTATGTATATGCATATGTATATCTGCAGCTATATCTACACAAGTATTTTTTTAATTGAGTTATAGTCAGTTTACAATGTTGTCAATTTCCAATGCAGAGCACAATTTTTCAGTAATACATGAACATACATATATTAATTGTTGCATTCTTTTTCACTGTGAGCTGCCATCATCTTCTCATTCCCCTCCCCCCTGGCAACCGCAAGTTTGTATTCCATGTCTATTAGTCTGCTTCTGTTTAGTATTTATGTTCATTTCTCTTTTTCTTTCTTTCTTCTTCTTTTTTTGTTTTTAGATTCCACATGTAAGTGATCTCATATGGTATTTTTCTTTCTTTTTCTGGCTTACTTCACTTAGAATGACATTCTCCAGGGACAACCATGTTGCCGCAAATTGTGTTATGTTGTCATTTTTATGGCTGAATAGTATTCCATTGTATATAAATATACCACATCTTTATCCAGTCATCTGTTGATGGACATTTAGGCTGTTTCCATGTCTTGGCTATTGTAAATAGTGCTGCTATGAACATTGGGGTGAGGGTGTCTTTTTGAAGTAGGGTTCCTTCTGGATATAAGCCCAGGAGTGGGATTCCTGGGTCATATGGTAAGTATATTCCTAGTCTTTTGAGGAATCGCCATACTGTTTTCCACAGTGGCTGCACCAAACAGCATTTCCATCAGCAGTGTAGGAGGGTTCCCTTTTCTCCACAGCCTCTCCAGCATTTGTCATTTATGGACTTTTGAGTTATGGCCATTCTGACTGGTATCTACACAAGTATTTTTTAATGGAAGAAAGAGAACTTCCTTTACAACCATCAGTGATCTCTGTTATACATTAAAATTATTTAAGATTTGTGTCATAAGACAAAGTTTCAACTCCCCAGATTCCTGATGAGTACCTGGATTTTAGGAGTCTATGATCATCCCTTTGCTCCCAGTATTTATAATGGCTTTCAAAACTTAGAGCAGTTTTCTCCTCACATTTCATCAAATATGCAAGTTATTTTCAAAGTTTATCAGCTAATTAGAAGAGTTGATTTGTGAGGGTTGGAAATTTCTCATTCCCAGTTTTTTAATTTAATGAACCTAAAACCAAATATGTGTAATATCTATTTCTTTACCAAGAGAAAACAGAAAAAAAAATCTGACAAAGTAATCAGAAAGAACTTTTTTTAACAAACACATATTTCTCATAGATTTTCAAAAAGAGTTTTCAAAAAGAGTTTATAAACCAATATATATAGTACTATCCTGTTTTGGTCTTTAAAAGTACATATACACACAAACACAGGAAAATAAAATACAACAACATATAGAAGGGATAATGTATCATGGCTAAGTGGAATGCTAGGCTGCTTCAACATTAGAAAGTCAATCAATGTAATTCACCATATCAATAAAGAAGAAAAATCATATGACCATCTCAACAGTCATACAAATGCATTTGAAAAAAAGTCTACATCTATCCATGATACTCCTAGCAAGTTAGGAAATGAAGGGAAATGTCTTAGCTTAGTACAGGGCATCTAGAAATAACCTACAGCTAACATCATACTTAATGGTGAAAGAATGAACACTTTCCCCATAGGAACAGGAGCAAGGTAAGGATATCTGCTCTCACCACTCCTCTCCAACATCACACTGAAGGTCCTAGCCAATGCAATAAGGCAAGGGGGAAGGGCATATTGTTTGGAAAAGAAGAAACAAAATTTTCTCTTTTTGAAGATTTAAAAAGCACATCTAAACAACATTAGTTATTAGGGGAATGCAAACAAAAACTGTCATTATATATCACCATGTACCTGTCAGAGTGGTTTAAAAAATAATTATATTAAGTGCTGATCAAGATGTGGAACAATGGAACACTTATACTTGCTAGTGGAAATGCAAATTATACAGTCACTCTGGAAAACAGTTTGGCATTTCCTAAAATGTTAAACCTTTACCAACCATATGATCTAGCAACCCTAGCCCTAGGTATTCACCCAAGAGAAATGCACTGTACAATTCTGCTTATGTGTCATTCCAGAAAGGGCAAAATTATAGGAACAGAAAACAGACCAGTTGTCACTAGGGGCTGGGGATGGGCGTAAGAGGAGAGGTTGACTATAAGGCAAAAAAGGAATATTTTGAGGGTGACAGAACTGTTTTGTATCTTGATTGTGCAGGTGGTAATATGACAGTGTGTGTTTGTCAAAAGTTACAGACCAGTACACCGAAAGTGCGAATTTTACTGTAGGTGAATATGGTAAACTTAAAAAGTGAATACACACAAGCACAAACATAAAAACCTGGAAGAATATGTGCCACAATACTGATAGTGATTATCTCTTAGGTGAGGTATTATGAGCGATTTTAATTTTCTTTCTTGTCCTCTAAAGTGTTTAAATTATCCCCAATCAATAAATATTCTAAGAGGAAAATAAAACTTCATTCCTTTCATCTATTGAATGTGAACCTCCAGATCTAATTGACTACAATTGCTCCTTGGAGGCCTCCTTCACTCCAGTCTTCCTTCCCTTCTGTCCTTTGTCCTTTATTACAGTTTCAGCATGTCAGTACTCAGTTCAAGAAGCTACAATGGTTGCCTAATGCCTACTCAAGCAAGCCTTAACTTCTTTGCTGCCTTGAGTCTATTTCTCATATAAGGTTAGGCAAAGATTTATTAAACCCTTATTATGTGCCAGGAACTGCTGTGGGCTTCTACATGAAATATCTTACATAATCCTAGCACAACAACCATAAATGACGTGCTTTTCCTGTCCTCAATTTATAGATGTCCATTGTCACAAGTTAATAGAGACAGAATGCCATGATCCCAGAGCTCAGAGTCTTAATCACTGCAGTGGAGTGAGGTGGTTAAAAAAGTATGGCATCTGGAGGAAAACTGCCTAGGTTCTAAAGCTTGGCTTACTACTTTCTAACTGGTCATCTTGGGGAAAATTATTCAACTTCCCTGGGTCTTTTTTCCTGAGATTAAATAAGGCTAATCGCAGTAACTATTCATGAGTTGGTTGTGAGGATTAAACTGTATTATTCACGTGAAGTGCCTCATACGTAATAGGTATTCCCTCTGTGCCCTCCCTCCTGCCCCTGCCAGTCTCTCATCTTTAGCTCTAGCAGGAACCTTCAGCTCCCAGCAAGGTGATCTCCTAAACGTTCAGTAACAACACCAGGCTCTTCTTGTCTCTAGGTCATTGCTTTATTATTCCTCTAGTCCAGAACATCCACTCTTCTCTCTTCTACCTCAGTCTTACCCTAGCCTCCAAGGCTCAGATCAAGTTTCCGTTCACCCAAGGCAACATTTTTTTATATGTCTCCTTATGGGTGGTCACTAATGGTTTTATGGGCATTAATTTGTCTTTGATTAAAAAGGCCATCCAAGAAGGTAGAGAGCATTTCTTTTATTATAGAAAGTTCTATTAAAGAGTACTTGTTCAAAATGTAAACCTTTGGAGAGCAGGGACTATAGCTAAGGCTCTGGAAACCCAGCAGTGGATAACCCAGTGATTATGTAGGAAGAACTCAGTTGAGTTCTTATGTTTTGTTTTATTGATTTACCAAGGGTATTCACATTTGATGGGAATACTAGGCATGATCATTTGACCTCGGCTACAAAATACCAGTTGATTAAATTATTTATACAATTTCAGCTGTCGTTTCGAAAGACCAAATTTCCAAAGAGCACAGCCCATCTCTCCCTTTTCAGAGAAATGATAGTTATTCTGCCCATGACCTCTTTGGTTGTAAGATGATACTCTCTATGACACATGGAATTTTCAGAGAATCTTAAATTGAAGCTGCCCGCATTAAGTAATCTTTTGCTAAACATTACTTAAATAATTGTCTTAAAGTGAAAACATTTCTTTATGCTTAGCAAATACTTCCCTGATAACCTGCAACATTTCAATAAGGAAAATGCATACATTCAACTTACTTTAAAGGTAAAGAGTTACGGTCAAGCGATATAACCAAGGTCACATTTCAGCACTACTACTGGGTCCAGCTGTCTGAGACACCTGAGCCCCTGGCATCCTCTCTCTTCACTGAATCCTAGAGTTCTAAATCACTCCCACAGCCTTAGGGCATTTTACACCCACTAATGATGCCACTTATTCTGAGTGCCTACAATTGGTAAGCTCTCTGCAAAAGCTGAGGCCAATGCAACACCCTCCCTCCCACCTCAATCATGTAAACATCTTGGCTCTATCCCAGCTGAGTCACTGTCACAGAGTAAAAGACTCTCAAAAAAGCCAGAATGA